AAAAACTAAAGCTGATAGAGACCATTATGGACACTAGAGAAATTTTTTTTTTCATGAGAGTTACCAGTCCCAGTTGTTCCTAATGTTTAACTGCACCCTCCTCTGCACTTCCCAAGGTTTTAAGAGTCTTGAAGTGAATTCATTTGTGTGTTTCAGGCATGTTAGGTGCTGGGCTTCTGTGGCTTACAACTGAGAAGAAAGACTTCATCGAGAAGCCCAGAATGACTTTTAGGATCTCATTCTCCACATTTATGAGGAGCTCGACTAGATCCCTAAAGTTCTAACTCCACCATTTTGGGAAGTTCAGATATAGAAGCTCCAAGAAAACTTTGAGACAACTATCAAGGAAGCAGTGGCAGAGACTTGTACCAGGGTTTAGGAAGGGCAGATAATGCATTTTTAAGAATTAGAACTGAATCATGAAAAACTCACTTGATTATCTGGTCATCTTTATTTGGGGCCTTTTCTGTATTTGGGAGAAGTAAGGAGGCACTGGGTAAGGTGCCAGTTATCCAGTTCGGCCTTGAAAAGTTATGGTTGGAAATCAAATGAACTGATCCAACCACTGACTATCTTCCCATTTGGGGACTGCAGCCTGTTTGCCTATGAATTGGAAAGCTCAGGCCATTTAACTTCTAATGTCCCCTGTAGTTCTAGATCTTATGGGATCCTCTAAAAATCCAGCAGTTCCACAATACGTAAAGCGAGGGTGGGGAAAACAATGATGAACTGTCACATCAGGATAAGTGCTTCCAAAGTAAATTTATGGGCCCACAGCAGTCCTCAACCTTGAATTACTGGCATGAGATCCACCATGGGTGGTGGAAGATAACAGAGATGGATCCCAGGGTAAATACTGAAGACATGTCCTCCTTACACCCAAACTTATCTTCTTAACTCCTCCTGCAGATTGTGAGATGTGACTCCTTAGCCACAAGAAACAGATACCCACTTAAAGTAGTTCAAGAAAAGAGCCTTTTGGAGGAAGAAAGGATTATTCCTGCGATCAGCTCAGGTCAGGTTTTCTCCTCATCCAATCATCTGCCCTTAGAAGGGTGAGGTCATATGGGGTTGAGGGCAATGCTGAGTCCATCCTTTCTCTGGGGCTGTTATACTGCCTGGCCAAGTACTCTCAGAATTTTCTATGATAATCTGCATACTCTGCAATATAGGTCCCATTCTAGGGCCAGTCCTTCTTTTCTAAAAGGCTAGAAAGAATATAAAGACCCCAAATATGGGGTTCAGAGACATCCTCATGAGGGTTTGCAATAACGTATAGAGGTTAAGAGTAGGCATTCTGGAGCCAGACTGCTTGGATTCAAACTCTGGCTCTGCCCCTCACTTTGGCAGTATTGATGATCTGCTTCAACTGTCTGCCTACATGTTCTTATCCCCTTAAAATGAGGATTGTAACAGTACCTAACTCATGGAGTTGTTGCATGGATTCAATCAGCTAATCCATCTATCTTTCTTTTTACCTAATTATCTATCATCTATCTATCTATCTATCTATCTATCTATCTATCTTCATCATCATCATCATCATCATCATCATCATCATTTATCATCTTAGAAGAGTCAGCTGGCTTATAGTAAGCCACTTACATGGTCTTTTATTGGGCTATTATTATTCTACTGGATTTCCCTTTCACATTTTGGTTCAGCTACCACCAAGCCCTGAATTTCTAAATCAGGAGACAAGTTGGTCATATCTGTAGTTCTCAGCAACATACCTCTAAACTTCCCTTACTGTATTATATAGACCCCAATATTCACAAGTGTGACATTTGGGTCTACAATCTTTGAGGTCCATTCTGCTTTGAGGCTGGCCTCATGGTGACTAAAGTCTTACTAATTATCTGATGGTAGTTTAAAATTGTACCATAGCTTCCTGAAAGTAGGGTTCTGATGGTCTCAGCAGCCTATTTCTCCTGGGGAAGAAGTGGCTGCAGGAGATCAGCCATGGGACCCTCTTCAGAACTGAAAGATAAGTCTTTTTTAAAAAGCTCCTGAGGAATTTGTCTGGAAGGATGCTACTGCCTGCCTGACCCCCTCCCAAAGTCTTTCACAGTAGGAGCCATTGCTTTTGGGGCAGCCAGTCTGCAGAGACTTAATGGAGCCAGATTTCAAGATGATGAGTCATCAGGAGATGCCTTTTCTTGGAATGATTATGGCTTTGCTGTTTGGCATTTGGTCAACTGCTGAACTTTTTCAGAGCTGTAATGCATAAGGAACTCAAATTCTGCAAAGTTGCTAACCTGCTCTCAGTGAAAACAAGGCTCTGTGGTCAAATATTTTTGGGAAACAGTGGGTTAAGAATGTTGGCAAGGTTTCTTCTCCTTTTTAAAATAAATATTTATTTATTCATTCCAGAGAGAGAGGGCACATGTGTGCATGCGGGGAGCAGAGGGAGAGAACCCCCAAGCAGACTTCCTGCTGAGCACTGAGCACAGAACACAAGGTGGGGCCAATCTCGCAACCCACAAGAACAAGACCTGAGCCGAAACCAAGAGTCAGATGCTTAACTGACTAGCCCCCCAGGTGCCCTGCGTTGGCAAAGTTTCTTAATTATAGGACCTCATGGATCATTTAATATGCTGCTATGCTATATGAATTTCCACATGGGCGATACAGTCTGCAGGGATTTTCAAACCTGTGAGAACAGTAAACGTATTTTCCTCCCTGGAACCACCTGGGATGCCTGTTAACAATGTAGAAGTCTGCGCCCCGTGGCAGCAGAGGCACTCTATCAGAATTTCTGGAGGTGGGATGATAGTATTCATGTTTTAAATAAATTCCCTGGGCAATTCTTATGCACCAGGAGAACCAGTTTGAGAACCAGTACTATGGAGGAGAGCTCAATCACCATAAAGAATTTGCTGTTTGCCTGGTAGAAGTTTGTTTACCACTCACACATCTGCCTCCCCAACAATTTTTCTCGTGACTCCACATTTGCATGATTCTGTTTCTGCCAAACGGTGAACTTTCAGAGTCACCAATTCTTGGTGATGGAAAGTAAAAGCTTACACTTAAAAAACAGTCTCCTTTTGGGATCAAGTCAGAGCTGGCTAGAGTGGCAGTGGGCAAATCCCTTGACAAAATTCCCAACTGAGATATAGGAAAACTTCAAAAGAGCACATTCCTTTTGGCACAAAGCAGAAATGTGGCAAGACCAGGAACCAGCCCCATTGGATGCTGCTGAGTGACAGCAGGACGTGGGATGAGGCTTTTGGAGTTGGAAATTAGAGAGACATCCTCAAAGATCTTAGACACCTTGCTAGAAGTCACATGAGGATAAATTGCCTTTCCCTGGAGACTCCCCTCAGGGACCAATTCAGGCATGATGCTGGGGCAGTGAATATAGGAAGCACCGCCAGCAAGGTCTACTCCTGGATCAGAAGCTCAGCAAGAAAGGCTAGCCCCTCTAGACCTGTTATGTTGTCTGAGTCTGACAAAGTCCCAGGAAGCTCTAGTGTCAGGGATTTACTATTTTGCCAAAGGTGAGAGGAAAGAGAGAGACTCCATGAAGTGAGGACAGATAGAGAGGTCTGGAAGCCACCTCACCTCACCTTGGTTGCTATGATTATTGACTCATGCTGTATCATTGTTTATTGAGAGGGGACACAGACAAGGTAAATGAAGTTCAGAAAGGAAAAGTGACTTGCCTAGGGTCACACATCTTGTGTGGGTGATCTAGAACACAGGTTTCCTCTGGATCGGTGGGTTACCGGCAGAGGAAATGCTACATGAAGGAGGAAGGCATTAACAAAGAGAGATTCAGGTGATGATGGTCCATGCCCAGCCAGCAGCTTCCAGATCTAACTTCTTTCCTTTGCTATTTTTGCTAATGGCTCTGCTCCATATTGGCCTGGCCGCTGGTGCATCAGGTAATCAAATAGAATCAAAGTCCTCCTTTACATCCCTGTTCTAGAACCCTATAAGGACTTCACATCCATTAGCCGAGAATCCTCTAACAAGCCTAAGACACCAGAGTGCAGAAATATTTCTGCTTTCAAATTTGGATGCTGTTATCACACTACTGCTGTTTTCCAGGATGGTGAGAACAACCAAATAGTGCTTACTATGTTTTGTTAGGTGCTGAAAGGAGCTTATGGTGGTTGTTTTGCTTCCAAGGTTATTGCTAGTACTTACAAAAACAACAAATGAAAAACCCTTAATAAGCCAGCCACCCCTAATTAGGATAATAGCTATTTGTTAAACATGCCTGCTTTTAGACTGAGAATAGAAATATTCCTACAAGTGGAGCCCATTGCTGATTGCTAATGGGCTTTTTAAACTTTTTTTTTTTTGGTTCATGCTCCTTTGTTCGTAGAATATAAATTTTCCTTCCTTAAAACATTCATTTAAAATTTTAAATAGCTACCATATATACATGCAGTGCTTTTAGCTTTCCAATGCATTTTTGCATTAACCTCATCTGGTAAGTAGGGCAGATATTATGATCCCCCTCTGGCAGAAGAGGAAATTGAGGTTCAGAGAGGTTAAGTGCCTTGTTTAAGATCAAACAGCTAATTGGGGACAGGGTTGCAAATATAAGAGCTGACTTGTAAGTCAGGGAATCACTTGCTGTCCATTCTTAGTGTAATTGAAGCATTCATCACTTTTATTTTATTGTTTTTTAGAGAGGAAGAGAAGTGGGGGAGGAGCAGAGGGAGAGAGAGAATCTTAAGCAGACTCCACTCCCCCCCACCTACCAGAACCAAGCCCAGAGGACGTGGGGCCTGAGCTCTTGCCGCTGAGATCGTGACCTGAGCCAAAACCAAGAGTTGGATGCCTCACATACTGAGCCACCCAGGTGCCCAACTTTTTATCTTACCTTATAGTGAGCTCTGTGTTTGTCCATTTCCAGTTAGACCCCAAACTTGGTTCGAGTCCAGTGCCTCCCCTCAGATACCCTGGTTAAAGCTTTCTTACTTGCGATGACTTGCACTTGCCTCCAGCCCCCTCACCTGGCTCTCCTGTCAGTCCTCCGCAGGCACATGGCCAGGAGGAACCACACCATCGTGACCGAGTTCTTCCTCACTGCATTCAGCGAGCGTCCTGAGTGGGGGCTTCCTCTCTTCCTGCTGTTTTTGGGGTTTTATGTCATCACCTTGTTGGGGAATGCGGGGATGGTCCTTCTGATCCGAGTGGATGGCCGGCTGCACACCCCGATGTACTTCCTCCTCGGCCACCTGTCCTTCGTGGACATCTGCTACTCATCCACCATCGTGCCGCAGATGCTGGCGGTGCTGCTGCAGCGGGGGGCAGCGCTGTCCTACACCTGCTGCGCTGCTCAGTTCTTCCTCTTCACCTTCTTTGCTTCCATCGACTGCTACCTGCTGGCCCTCATGGCCTATGACCGCTACGTGGCCGTGTGCAGGCCCCTGCTGTATGTCACCATCATGACCGAGAAGGCGCGCTGGGGCTTCGTGGCTGGGGCTTATGGGGCTGGTTTCTCCAGCGCCTTTGTTCGAACAGTCACAGCCTTCTCCCTCTCCTTCTGCGGGGACAACGAGATTGACTTTATTTTCTGTGACCTTCCCCCTCTGTTAAAGCTGACCTGTGGGGACAGCTACACCCAGGAGGTGGTCATTGTTGTGTTTGCCATCTTTGTCATGCCTATTTGTGTGGTGGCGATCTTGGTGTCCTACCTGTTTATTGTTGTGGCCATTATGAGGATCCCCTCTGCGGGGGGCCGGGCCAAGACCTTCTCCACCTGCGCCTCTCACCTCACGGCTGTGTCCCTCTTCTTCGGCACCCTCATCTTCATGTACCTGCGAGGTAACGAGGACCAGCCCTCCAAGGGAGACCGAGTGGTGTCAGTGCTCTACACAGTGGTGACCCCTCTGCTGAACCCCTTCATCTATAGTCTGAGGAATAAGGAAGTGAAGGAGGCCCTTAGGAAAGCTCTGAACAGGCCAAAGGCTTCTGGAAGGCCCTAGATGGACTCTTGCCAAATATGTTCTTCCTTCGTTTCTCCATCCTATCCTCAAGTAGCACCTACTTGGGGAAACTTTCCCAGGCAACCCTACTTAAAATTGCACCCGAACTTCCCCTCTCCACTTCCTGACTTATTATTCTATGAAATACTTGCCACCATCTGATATACTATATGCTGCATATTCGACGTTGTCTCAATCTCAACAATTAAAAAGTAGACTACATGGGGCGAAGCATTTTTATCTGTGAGATTCATTTCTGTGGTGTGCAGTGCCTAGCCAAGCACCTAGCACTGCACCTAGCACAGCACCTAATAAGCACATAAAAGGCACCCAGTAAATATGTGTTGAATAAATACATGACTCTCAGGTTCCAGAATCAACATTTGTGTCCAACTTCCTTAGTTCTCAGTTTGTTTGTTTGTTTTTATCTGCCAAGTGTGTTTACCTACTTTATAGGACTAGATTCTTGAGGATCCAATGCATGGACCATGTCTGTCTTATTTGCTAATATCTGTTGAATGCTGTACACAGCATTTACTTAATGAGTGAAGTAAAAATATTTGGCAAATCCAAAAGCTGTCTACAAAGGCAACTTCTGTTTTGATCCAAAGGGATTTTTCCAAATCCCATCATTTATTCTTTCATTGTTTCCTTCTTAATGTTTCTGTGGATTTTGGCTAATAATAAAAAATTATAGATAGTAACAACATTTTTCAGACAGTTACCACCTTCTAGGAATTGTGATGTGTGCTGCAGGAATTATCTGACCTCTCACCACGACATGGGGAGGCTTAGCTCTGCTTTGTAGGGAGAGGAGGCACCAGAGATTCAGAGAGGCTGAGCAATTTTCCCCAGGACAGGAAGCAAGCGGTTGAATGGGGCTTCCAGCCCAGTGGAGCCTGAGCTCTTACTTGCCATACACGGTCTGCTTCTACAATCTTCAGTCATTCAATCTGGAATTTATTGTTATTGCATATTTATTTTTTCTTTTATCATGAAAAGAAAAGATGCAAGTCCAATATGTAAAGGTATCAGGCAGTCAACACATTTATTTTGCAGCCCTGATGTGCTAGTATTGCATAATGTGAGAGCAGGTGTCTGTATGTGTGTGTGTGCGTGCGCCTGTTGTCATATATGAGCAAATGACGTGTGTACGTTAAATAAATGGCAGCTTCTGAGCTTTAGGAATTTTCATTTTAAGGACCTACAGGACAAAACTTTTAGAAAAGAGTTGGCTGGGCATGTTTAGGACAAGATATAGAGGAAAAATTGCCCTGGGAGCCAAGAGATTTGAGTTTACACGCCAGTCTTTGTATGTGTTTTTGCACAAATCACTTAGAAGCTGCAGAATGGGTAAAACAACCCCACAGAGTGCATCTTGGGGGCTGTTTTTCCAACATTAACTGCCATGCAAATGTTCCTCTGACACCTCAGATTCTGTGGCAAGGGATAGAGGCGTTTGTGTTGTAGGAGATCTCAGGGTTTGGCACCAAAGTGTCCAGGCTGTCACTTCACAGCTGTATGACTTCAGATTAGTGAGGGCCTGTCAGTCTGTTTTCTCAACTGTGAAATAAAACTTATTGAGCATTTACTCTGAGCCAGGTTTTATGTGTATCACATTTATTCTCATGGCAACTCGGTGCATGTGGGCAACAGGAAGGTGCTGGGTGAAGTTCTGTAAACATTAATTAGTGTGATTATGGTGATTGTCCCAGGGTTTACAGCCCAGTGGGCATCTGCGGGCCTCTTCATTTCAGAGCTCTCTGGAACCTCTCTTCTGGGCTGAGATCAGCCTTGCGTCCAGACACCTCCAGAAGTGGAGTTCACTAAATTTTTTTTTTAACTTGGCTCTTAAAGGAACATACACTTAAATACATAAATTAATGCTGGGCACTATGCTAAAAGCTTTATGTGAATGATTTACTTTAGTCCTAACAACTTGAATGGAAAGTCATTCTGATTGATCTCATTTAGCAAAAAGGAGGATACAGAAGCCAAACAGGTGATACAACCTGCCCAAGTTCTGCAGCAAGGAGCAGCTGACCAGAGAGTACATTATCTCAAGTCTCACTCCAAAGGGTGTGCTCCCAGATGATATTCTTTGGGAATTTCCCCTTCTGTCCCTCCCAGGCTCCAATTCTCAGGTTGGAGAAAATCATTTCAGAAGCATCTGGATTTCTGTTGCTTCCAATACGTAGTTCGTAGTTCCTCAGTATGGTGCCTCCAAGCAGTCACCGACTTTGCCTTCATGTCTTCCTTGTCAATCTTCAGTAATGGCTTAAGAATTCAATATTTCTTTTCAAACACTGACCAATTATTATTTCTTACCATTTAATATGCATTTAATTATTTTGATCTATCTATCTATCTCTCTATCTAATCTATCTATCATCTATCATCTATCTGTCATCTATCAAATCCAATCTCTGCTTCTGTGTTTGGTTTTCTTAGATTCCACATACAAGTGAGATCATACAGTGTTTGTCTTTCTCTGCCTGACTTATTTCCTTTCCAATACAGTGTTGAATAGAAATTATGAGATGGCACGTTCCTCTCCTGTTGTTGATCATAGGGGAAACTTTCACCAATCACTATGTAGGGTTTTCATAGATACTTTTGTCAGCTTAAGGGAGTTCCCTTGGATTCCTAGTTTGTGAGAGTTTGTTTCTTTTTTTAATTATTAATGGATTTTGAATTTTGTCAGAAGATTTTTTTCATTCACTAGGATGGTCATATAGTTTGATTCTGTGCTTTTTTTAAAAAAGATTTTTAATTACTTATTAATGAGAGACACAGAGAGATAGGCAGAGACACAGGCAGAGGGAGAAGCAGGCTCCCTGCGAGGACCCTGGGATTATGACCCGAGCCAAAGACAGACGCTCAACCACTAAGCCACCCAGGAGCCCCTATTTTGTGCTTATTAATAGGTAGATTACATTGATTGCTTTTGGAATGTTAGGCGATTCTTCTATTTTTAGGATAAACTGTACTTGGTTACAATATAGTATTGCTTTTATTATAAAAAAAAAAGTAGAAGATGTTCCTGAGCATTCTTGGTTGGTTAAAAAGATCACAGATGGTATTGCCTAAAGCCATATGCCAGTTTTAAAAGGAGATTGTACTTCTGAGTCATCTAAATTCCTCTATTAAAAGGAGAATAAAGAGAGAAAGGCATAAGCAGTGGAAGGAAAATGGGAACAAAGAAGAAATTTGAGATGTTTTCATCTTCTGGGAAAGTGTTGTGCGGACGGTGGTTTCCATGTGGATTGTTCTTCTTTTTTTTTTTATTGGAGTTTGATTTGCCAACATATAGTATAACACCAGTGCTCATCCCGTCAAGTGCCCTCCTCAGTGCCCGTCACCCAGTCAATCCATCCCCCTGCCCACCTCCCCTTCCACTACCCCTTGTTCGTTTCCCAGAGTTAGGAGTCCATGTGGATTGGATTCTGAGGTTGTGGGACTGGTAGACAGGTTGCTGGGGATGACTGCTGCCCCGGGGTGATGAGCAGATCACAAAGGAAGATCAAATGGGTGATGGTTTGGCTTCTGTGATATTTGAAACAGCTGATCCCTCTTTTTTCTTGGAAGAATTTTCACTTTCTTCCTCAGTCTTCCTGACTTGACTTTATTCTAGTTTCCTGCCTCCCCAGCCCCTGCTTCTCTGACTTCTGTGTTGGATCCATATTTCTAAATGTTAGAGTCATGCAGGGCTTGGTCATAGGTCTTTCTCTGTCTCTCTGTAGTCGCCCCTAGGTAATTTCACCCAGTTCCATGGATCAAATACAGAGAATATTTAAATAAAATTCAAAGTCTTCTCAGCCAACAGAAAGGATGAATACTTATCATTTACATCCACGTGGATGGAACTGGAGGGTATTATGCTGAGTGAAATAACTCAAGCAGAGAAAGACAATCATCATATGGTCCCACTCATATATGGAATATAAGAAATAGTGCAAGAGGCCATAAGGAAAGGAGGGGAAACTGAGTTGGGAAAAATCAGAGAGGAAGACAAACCATTAGGAGTTAGACTCCTAACTCCTAACTCTGGGAAGCAAAACAAATGGTTGCAGAAGGGGAGTTGGGTGGGGGATGGCGTGACTGGGTGACAGGCACTAAGGAGGGCACTTGATGGGATGAGCACTGAGTGTTATACTATATGTTGGCAAATTGAATTTAAATTAAAAAACAAAAACAAAAAAACCCAAAATCTTCTCCATGACCTGAAACGGTTCAGCCAAGTTGGGTCCCGAGCTACCATCATGACTGTTTACCTCCCCCTCCTCCCTAGTCCACCTGGCTCACTGTTCTGTGAGGGTGCCACCCTGTTCCTGCAGCAGGATCTTTCTCGCCTACTCTTCCCTTTTCCTGGACTGTGTTTACCCAGATCTTCTCATGGCTCACTCTCTTATTTTCTTCAGTTCTCTGCTCAGATTCCTAAGAAAGGCCTTCCCCAACTCCTCTCCTCTCTATCTCAAATAGCTAGCTAGTCCATGCAGGGTCACCGTCTACCCTCTGACCCTCCTTCGCTTTTTATCACAGGCCTTCTTACTACATCATAGTATGGCCATCATTTATTTATTCATACATTCCCTGTCTGTCGCCTCCTCTGTGAAGGAAAAGCCAGGAAAGCAATGACACTGTCCTGTTTTGCTTTTGACTCTCACTAGGTACTCAGAACTTATTTGTTTAGTAAATAAATTAATGCATATTTGCTGACACTTTATGCATTAGGTTTTTTGTATGTGCTTATGTTTATTAGAGCAATTAATTTTTCTATTTTGTATTGTAGATAGTTATCTACATTTCCATCTTTATGAATTATGGTAAAGGTCTCTTAAAAGCCTAGGCATCTTTATTTTATTTTTTATTTTAAAAATGTTTTATTTAAATTCAATTTGCCAACATATAGTATAACACTCAGTGCTCATCCCATCAATGCCTTCCTTAGTGTCTGTCACCCAATTACCCCATCCCACCAGCTTCCTCCCTGAATCAGG